AACAAAATAAACCCTCCTCTCTCACAACAAACACACAACCAAAACCCTCCCTTCTCCCCAATTTCAAAAGCAAAAACCTACCTCCTTTTCCTCCTCTTCCATACTCAATTACTCCCCAATCTCTATTCCTCACAAGCTTCTTCAGGTAAGTGCCATTGCTTCTATTTTCCTTTTCCTTCACTTTTTATTTGTTATTTGTTTTTTAGTTTTTCCAATTTTTTTCTTTTCTTCTTCTCTTTTAATTGTATGGTAGTAGAAGTCATTGTTGTTCTTTTCTTTGCTTTGTATTACTAATTATACTTGTTGGTATGTGAGGATAGTGAAATTTCATCTTATTGGGTTAGTTTAGACATTGTTAAGATTGTGGTGGAATTGAGGTATAATTGGGTGTTTGGGGAATTTGGGGTGAATTTGCACATCAAGTATTTGTTTAAATGCCACAGTGAGTTCATGAATGTAATTTGTGACCAATTGTGCGGGTGAAGTCTGAGTAACAGCTATTGGTTCACACATCTCGCCTTGTACTGCTAGTTGTATTTGTTCTGTAGGTACTATGACACCCTCAAAGAAAAGACGAACCACATGCGCCTCTTCTAGTGGTCATGCAGGCTCGTCCCGGGCACGAGCCTCAACCAATGCGCTTCAGTTCGATAGCACAAGATTTATATGAAGCTCATCCTAGGAACGTTTTATCCAAAAAAGCTCCTAAGAAGCCCATACCGGAACGGGGTGTTGATAGGGGGTCCCTCCAGATTGGTTGCCCTAATATGTATCATGAGCTGGTTCGACACGGGCTGGATATTTTCTTTGAAGAACTTGAGGAGGCCAACTTGATGGTTATACGAGAATTCTACGCGAACTGCTCTGAACATGAGGACCATATTTGCACTGTGCGACAAAAGAGTGTTGATGCATCGATAGACGCCATTAGGAGGGCGTATCGGCTGCCAGTATTTGGTGGGGAGGAGGACTATTATGATACGTATAGCCGAGAACCAACCTCTTGGAACCTGTTTGTCAGAACAATCTGTGTGCCAAACAAAGACATAGTGTGGGTTACGCCGGGGCGGAAGTTTCACTCGGCCTCACTCACCTTTGAAGGGAAGTATTGGCTTTATATTATCAATAGCCGCTTGCTGCCTTCTTCCAACACCACTGAGGTGAGTGGTCCCAGAGATGCATTGATCTGGTGCTTCATGAATGGCCACGATTTTAATGTGGCTAAGGTTATTCACGACACGATGTTCATCTGTTGTCCAGTGCAGAGGTATGGGTTCTTATTCCCTTCACTAGTCACTAGATTATGCCGGGCAGCACGGGTGCTGGAGAACAAGACCGTGGATGGAAAAGTGAAAAAAGAACCAAAGTTCCGGGCAGATAAAGTGACCATTGGAAAGGATCCTGTGGTACATGGCACAGCTAATAGTGATGAGTCTGATGCGCCAGAAAAGGGAGATGAAGGGCAGGCTGAGGCTATGGCTGAGTCACACGAGCAAGTTGCTGAGGTTGAGGGAACATGATACGGCAGGGTTACACACTTCTGTCACGGATTTGGGGACTCGAGTTGATGCACTGGCCACCCAAAATGCAAAATCTGAGAAGAAGATCATGGCTTGGCTGCGTGTGCTGGGGAGGGCTTGTCATTTTGACCCCGACACTGTCTCCGATCAAGATTGATATACCAGGAAAGTTTCCTTTACCTCGCATTTTTTTTATTTGTGTGGCATGGGGAAATGCCACCATTTTAAGTGTGGGGTGGGGGATATTTTGTATGTATGTTGTATGTATAGAGTTATGTAGAGTAGTGTAGTTTTGTTAGTTAACTAAATTAAAACAAAAAAGAAACAAAAAAACAATCTTCAAAAGTTTCAATTTGTCCCGACGATGGATATCATTCGACGGGTTTCTTGAGGGATTCAAGTTGAAGAAAGAAACAAAAACACAAAAAGATTTTCTTTTGTTAGGAGTGTATCAATTCCCCCTTGGTTTTTCTTTGGGCCACGGTTCTTTTCCAAGGGTTTCGTTTGAACCAGGTGTAGTTAGTTTTTTAAATTTTTTTTGTAAGTTAGGAACCCTTGGGCTATGGGCTGAATTGGAAATAGGATCTCTTAACTTCGTTATACGTTGAATATAGCGGGTACTTTAGTGTCACGCTTAGGCTCAATTGTTTATTCTTGTAAGAATGCCTTAAATTGTATGTTCTTAACTTGGCTTAAGTATCCTGACTAGAGTGTTTTGATGATCCAATCTGGAGTGACTCTTGTGCCATGTGTGTGTGAGTCTTGTTGTATTATGTGTTGCCTAGAACTTGTCCCGTGTGTTTGCAAAGCGAAATAATAGTCTTGTTCAGTCTTGGAAGAGATATAGGCATTTCTTTGTTGAGCCAGATATGTATATTTTACCGGCCTAATTGTTATGTATCGTAGTTAACCCCTTTGAGCCTGTAATCATGTTTATTTGACAACCACATTACAAGCCTTACCCATTTGTTTGAATTAACTATCTATTTGAACCTTCTAACCTCTTATGAGCACTTGAATTGTTATGAACTGTGTAAAAGTTAAAGTGTGGGGTGATTGGTTTGGCTTCTGAGTGGAACTAATAAAATAAGGAGAAATGTGCATTGTTTTGAAAAAGTGAGAGCCACTTGAATTGAAAAAGAAAGAAAAGAAAAAAATAGTTGTATTGTTGTAAAAACAAATATTCCTTGATAAGTGGTGACTCTTGATGTAATTGTACTTAAAGAAGTATGGGGTAATATACGTTGATGTGAAGGTGGAGTGTTGGTTTGACATAAGTATGGACTTGAATGTTAAAGTATATGTATTAAAGTGCTTAGGGAGGTGTAGTCACTCTTATATCCAAGTATATCCTACCCGACTCGCAGCCTACATTACAACCAAATAAAGTCCTACTTGATCCTAGACTGAATGAGCTCGACTGGTAGAGTAGTACACTACGGGCAAGCCTATGGAGCATCTTTTGTTGCACAAGAATATCGTTTCTGAGGGTGAGTGAATTCTTTCTATTTTGAAGTCCCTCATTGTGCGTGAATTTTATTAATTGTGGAATGAGTCTCTTTTGTTGTGAGCAAGCACCTGATTCATGAAGGAAAGGTAATTCTTGACCTCTGCGTTAGAGTAAGTGAGTAAGTTAGGAATATTGCGTGGTGTGTGGGAGTCAACTCTTGAGGTGAATATGTTACACTACTGTGCTCAATCTATGTGAAATATTCTTGGTGTGATGAGTTAGGGAAGTCGCTTAGTGAGGTTAAGCCTCTGTAGAGTGTGGTTTGATTGCTCGAGGACGAGCAATGATTTAAGTGTGGAGTATTAATAGTAGGCTATAATTATGTAGTTTAGCTACTATTTGCACTCTAACTTAGCTGCACTTTATTGATATTTGAATTTTAAATGATAACAAATTGCTCTAATTAAGAACTTTATGCTTTGTAGGAGCAATTCCGGGCTATGAGGACGTTAAAGAGCGGTTCGGGGCAAATATGGAGCATTGAAGGCCAATTGGAGGTTAGAGTGCTTAAAAAGAAGAAAGAAAAAAATGCTGCAGAAAATCCTCCAGGTGCGCGGTCTATGCGCGGCCGCGCACTAGGCCGCGCATGTCAGGCAGAAACTGGCCAAAGTGCGTGGTGGATGCGCGGTGGATACGCGGCCGTGCACGTGCTTCCAAGAAAAATCGTCCAAGGCTAATTTTATAATTTGAGAGGCGACTAACCTTGACCTATATGAAGCCCAGCTCGTCCAAAAAGAGGTTATTTATGTTTTTAGAAGAACTTTGGAGGCAAGAACACAAAAAGAGCAAGACGGAGAATTCTCCTACGAGTTTTTCATCTTCTTCTTCTTAATTCCATTGTTGGTTATGACTTTTTATATTGTAATCTTATATAGTAGTATGAGTAGCCAAACCAGTCATCTAGGGTTGGTGGAACAATTGTTGAATGAAGTCTTAATTATATTTTGATATAATTAAGCCGTTTTTACTCTATAATTGTTCAACTATGTGTTTCTTATGATTAATTGAAAGGGCCCTTGATTAATCGTGTCTAGTTGTCTAGTGTTGCATGAGAAAGAACACTTGATTATATTGTTGTTGAACAACGCCACTTTCGATTAAGTTAAGAGATTAATTACTTGAATTTAAAAGCGGAATTAGAGATAATGAAACTTTGGTGTGATATTTATGAGTTGTACAAATTGTCAACTAGAGTAGTTTGAGAGAATGCTTCTAGTAAATTATCGTAATTTATCGAGAGATAAGTACGGTAAGCAAGAACTTATCATCTTTATAGAGTGTTACGGCAAGATTATGGCTAACGTGTCAGGAATTAATCCGATAATTGGGGAAATCAATAACCCTAGATTCTTTTACCCTTGAATTCAACTTCATTCTTGCTTATTGATAGTTTTTATTGTCATGTTTCCTTAGTTAAATAATTTCTGTTAATTATCAAATAAAATCTTGAACTCTGAAAATTATTTGAGCTTATCATTAGCGATACTAAAAGT